GCAGACTTTGTGCTTTTGCTTTCATAGGCTGGGAACAATTAGGTATCATACTTCTAACTTTCCATTTGTTGTGGTGGTGCCAAATTTAAACCTTGAGTGATCCTTATCTATGATCGGTATGCATCTGTATGAGCAAAATTAATCATATTGTAAAGCTGCCACGGGAATTCCAGACAACCCTGCAACTATGGCACGAAACACAAGTGTGAGAGCAGGCGTGTCACTGCCGCACACAAAACAGCACTGGTCCCCGGGGGTGAGTGTGTGAAGGGAGTGGGCCCCTAATCCTCCTCCTTGCTGCTTGTCGCCTTGGTCTGGGTAAGATAAATGCTGATCAGTGAGCCATCCAGGCCTGGAATCACCTGCAGCATCAATGAAGGTTCTTCCCTGACATTTCAGAGAGAGGTCACACATATCCATGCATTCGGCAACTATTTATGGAGTGCCTACTATATGTCGGGCTCTGGGGCCACAGCAGAAAGCAATCACATGGGAGTAACATGGTATGGTGACAAATGGCAACTGCACTTACCATGATGAGCATTTCATAATGTATGTAACTGTAGAATCACTACGTTCTACTCCTGAAACTAATATAATATTGTATGTCAACTATCATTCAATTAAAAAAAATAGAAAAGGGGGATGGGGAAAACCAAATGTATTCTTATAAAGCTTACATTCCACTGGGTGGGGGGAGGAGACAATAAAAAGTAAATAAATAAATATATAATATTTCACTGAGAAGTGAGAAGGAAAATAAAATGAAGGACTGGAAGAAGCCGGAGATGCCATTTTATGCAGCTCATCTAGGAAGGCCTTCCTGATAAAGTGACATGTGGGCAGAGTCCTGAGGGGTGACAGTGAAATATGTGGATACTTGGAGGAGGAGGGAACTGCAAGTATAAAAGACCCAAAGGTAGAATGTGTTGTAGAGCTCTAATAACAGCCAGGAGACCTTTGAGGCTGGAGCAGAGAGAGCTGAGATAGGGCAGGAGGAAGCCAGTCCAAGAATTTGCCAGAACACAGTCCATACAGGGTCTGCAAGCCATGGTGAGAGCCCTGGACTGCTCCAGGTGTGGTGAAAAACCACCAAGGGGGTGGCTTAGAGGGGGTAGTGAGGTCTGGTACAAGGTTCTGGAAAGATAAACAACAGAAGGCTGGCTGGAGGCGAGGAGGCCAGGGAGAAGGCTACTTTCAGAGTCCAGGGGATGGAGCACCCTTGATGGAGCATCCTTGATGGCCTTGAGTCATGGTGATTGGAGCAGGCTGAAAAAAGACAAAGAAAAGGAAGGGAAACAAAGGTGAGGAGAAGAAAGGAAACAGGTGAAAGGAATAAAATACAAATGGAGTATGAGAGAAAAGGCTATTTTACATACCTAACAAGAACTCAGTAATCAAGTATTGAATGTCAGACTCCAGGACAGGCAAAAGGGAAATGGATACCTCCTACATGCTAGCCTCTGTACTAGGGCTTCATATTTCCTACATTATCATATCACCATCAATCATTCAAGGGAAGGATCGTGAGCCCCTATTCACAGGAGGAATCTGAGGAACAGAGAAGTTAAGTAATTTCTCCAAGGCACACAGCCAATATGCAAGTGCTAGAATCAGTTGAGAGACTGTCTAAGGCCAAAGCCTGTTCTTCCAAACTTATTCGGGCTGGGTGCTGAGAAGATTATCAACATAGTCCCTGCCCTCAAAAACTTCCCTGACTTACAACAACTCCATGAGGTCAGAACTGTTATTGTCTCTATTTTTAGAAATGAGAAAAAGGATGCCCAGAGAGGTTAAGTGACTTGCCCAAGTCCAACATCTGGTAGGTGGCAGAGCCAAGATTCAATGCTGGTCTACCTCCTCATATCTTAACCCCAACTCTGTGTCATTATAGAACACCACTGTTTTGAACTTTAGTAAAATATAGTTTTGAATTTTACTTACAGATAGGTGGCAGGTAAGAAAAGAACCAAGTCATTTAAGCTGACCAGTATGCCAAGACTTCTTGAGGAACACACACACACACACACACACACACACACACACGCACATTTCTTGACATGCATACATACACATACGGATATGGACACACCCAGAAAGTGCAGGCATACACAACATTCCAAAGTCAATTACTTCCTAAATTAACCTCTCTTATCTGGGTCTCGGGGAAGTTAAGTCATTTGCCCAATTACGATGAACTGCCAAAGCCATCTTGTCCATTCCCAAGAAGTACACGGATATAGTATTCAGATTACTTCTTAAAAAGTCAACTGAAGGGATGCCTGGGTGGCTCAGTGACTAAGCGTCTGCCTTCAACTCAGGGCGTGATCCTGGGGTCCCAGGATCAAGTCCCACATCAGGCTCCCTGCATGGAGCCTGCTTCTCCCTCTGCCTATGTCTCTGCCTCTCTGTGTGTGTGTCTCTCATGAATAAATGAAATCTTTAAAAAAAAAAAACTTTGCTTAAGAAAAAAGTCAACTGGAATACTCTGTTAACATTTCCTTGAGAAGCTCAGGGGATGGATGGTAGTTGGAAGGTTGAAATGTCAACTATACATCCCTCAGCAATAGAGGACCTCACAAAACATGGATTCCTAGTGCTCTGCTCCTTCTCCGGAAATGCCAACTCAACTACTCTGGTAATTGAGTTTGGAGCATCAAAAGGAAAAAGACTCCTGTGGAAAGGTGCTGTGGTGTCATGTAGGGAAATGAGTGGGAGCTCAGTCCGTTTTCTGATAGTCCTGAGTTCTAAGCCAGTTTCCAGCCCTTCCTGGCTATATGATCCCAAAGAGGTGGCTGGATTTCCCAATAAGCAAAACAAGTAAAATATAATACTTACTTCTGAGCTATCATGAGGATTATAAAAGATCTCTTAAATAAAGCGTCAAGCACACAGCTGATGTTGATGGAGGCCAAAGTTCGAAGTCTTGACCTCTCCCCTACAAAGTAGAGAGTCACTAACTTCCAACCAATAGAACCTGTAATTACTATCTCTGGCCACCATGGGAAGGAGTTTAAAAGAGAGAAGGGGTGGGGGGTGGGGGGGGAAGTCAGATGTTTTCACGCAGAAAGGCAGGCCCAGGCATCATTACCATGTTGCTAGGTATTGTTAAGCCACCCACCTAGCCCCAGAGTGGGCAGCAATTAATGTAATTAGTGCAGTGATGAGTGTCCTCTGCAACGATAAACAGCTCAGTCCTGCATAACTTGACAGACCTGCTGGTCCCATGGGGCTCCTGACCTTGAACGTCCACTTGGGGAGTGGTGTAGTACGGTTTAGTGGAAAGAGGCAGGCTTTGAGTCAGATGGAACCAGGAATAAATTCAGTCTTTGCTAATTCCTAGCTGTGTGTCTTAAGTCAAGTTGTGTCACCTCTCTGAGTCTTTGTCTCCTCATTTATAATATGGGGTTAATAATATTTTCACTGAGTTGTTATAGTTACCTCCATCATCATTATCGTCGTCATGGAAAACCCCAAACCAGGCTGATGTTGAACTGGCAAAAGGGTGGACACACTGTGCATTTCTGGTACCAAGAACTGGAGCAGCCCAATTCTTTTTCTCTGGCTAAAGTCAGAGCAGGCAACACTGATTTGATTAGCTTTAGGGAAACTACTGGAGTTTGGAATGCAAGGTATATTGAAACCCAGAATAAAAAGGGAGAGAAAGGGGGATCCCTGGGTGGCGCAGCGGTTTGGCGCCTGCCTTTGGCCCAGGGCGCGATCCTGGGGACCCGGGATCGAGTCCCACATCGGGCTCCCGGTGCGTGGAGCCTGCTTCTCCCTCTGCCTGTGTCTCTGCCTCTCTCTCTCTCTCTGTGACTATAATAAATAAATAAATAAATAAATAAATAAATAAATAAATAAATAAATAAAATTTAAAAAAAAAGGGAGAGAAAGTACCCCTTGATTTGATCATTTAAGATAAGGTCATAAATAATTACCACTACCATTATCAGCAATATCACCATTTATGTAAAACAAAAGCACAATGGCAATCTGGCAATTGGTAATAAAAGCACAAAACCTGCCTATATCTTTGTATCTAGCAATTCCATCTTCAAGATTAATACCCTCACAAAAGAAGTCAAATAATCCAAAGGTTATTACATGTCAGTAAGTGTATGGTGAGGTTCTGATAATCATTAAGAATTCACTAACTTGTTCAATGGTTACTAAGTGCCTACTGCTACCAGGATAAAGGCCTTGAGTGCAGGGGACACACACACACACACACACACATTTAGGATTCATTGAAGTGAAGGTTTTGAAAAGGTCTGTAAAATAGAGTAAATCAACAGAGAGGGATCTATAGAGAAACAACTAAGCAAAATTGAATCATAATCCCTGAGACTGATATGGGAGGAGAACCACGTGGATTCTTGGAAACACACATATGAAATGGTGTTAATGAAGGAGCCAAAGAAAAAAAGAGAAATAATCACTGACTCAGAAAATGTCAAAACTAGGAAGGACCCCAAAGAACACCCAGTTCAGCAGTTCTCAACCCTTTCCATGGCATCTTTGGGACAGGTGAGGCTCACATATCCTAACAGTTTAGGCAAAGAAAACAATTTCTGGGTAATAATAGACATTTCCAGCTGCTAGCTGTCATGTCACTGTTTTCTCTCCCACTAGAGAAAGCTTTTCAGTATACTAGGGAGTAAGCTGAATCTCTTAAAGGAATAAACTTGAATCCACTCTAATTTGTTTAATAAAATGGAAGTTGGGATTCAACACTGCAGTTGAGAACCAATGATCTGGCCCAGGCCTTCATGCTATTGATGGAGAAGCTGAGGCCCCAAGTGACCCATCTAGCCTGTCATGCTAGCACATACTTCTTGCTCAATCAGTATTCGCTGAATGAATATTCGTGAATGAGTAGGCAAATGAGATGACATGACCAAGGTCACCCAAACTGTATGTGGCTAGTAATAACACATACTGATTAAAACTTAGAGATTGGGGATGAATTCATTCATTCATTCATTCATTCATTCATTCATAATATGGAATGCTTCATGAATTTGTGTGTCATCCTTGTGCAGGGGCCAAGCTAATCTTCTCCATGTAGTTCCAATTTTAGTATACGTGCTGCCAAAGTAAACATGGGGTGAATTTGGAATGTGGTACCTAGAAATGCATATTTATTATGTTTCTTTTCTTTATTTTTCTCAGGAGCACCCTGAGAAATAGAACAACTGCCTGATAGACAAGGCGGTATAGAAGGAGCTGCAGTAATAGCTCGAAAAGACACGGAATTCTCGAATCTTCAGATATGGATGATGCTAGAGGCACCTGGGTGGCTCAGTCAGTTAAGAGACTGACTCTTGGGATGCCTGGGTGGCTAAATTGTTGAGTGTATGCCTTCAGCTCAGGGTGTGATCCCGGGGTCCTGGGATCGAGTTCCACATCGGGCTCCCTGCAGGGAGCCTGTTTCTCCCTCTGCCCATCTCTCTTCAAGCTCTCTCTTTGTGTCTCTCATGAATAAATAAATAAAATCTGAAGAAGAAGAAAAAGAAGAAGAAGAAGAAGAAGAAGAAGAAGAAGAAGAAGAAGAAGAAGAAGAAGAAGAAGAAACAACCGACTTTTCATTTTGGCTCAGGTCATGGTCTCAGGGTCATGGGATCAAGCCCCGTGTCAGGCTCCCTGCTCAGCAGGGAATCTGCTTGAAGTTCTCTTTCTCTCCTTCTGTCTCCATCCCTCTCAACCCATTGTTTAAATAGATCTTAAAAAAAAGATATGGATGATGCCAGTGTCCAGTCTCCAGTACTTAAAAGCCACAACTGAGAGCTTCCCATACAGTAGACACTTCAACTGACCAATGGAGAACAGAAGATCTTTTAATGGAATTGACCTAGTACAGAGCCCATAGAAAAAGTTCTCAATAACTGATCACTGGTGATGGTTCTTCTCTGCCTTTCCTCTGCCCAGAATGCCCTTCCCAAACCACCCTCTTCTCCCAGTATCAGCATTTATATCCTTTGTATTATAGCCTCTCTTTACAGCAGCCCTTTCTGATCATCCCCTTTAAGAAGATCCTCCATTTTTCTTCTTTAAGTGTATAGAGTTCAGAAGTGTATAGAGATCTTCTGGTCTCTATACAGTCTATAGAAGATTGTCTCCCAACTCCTCATCAGGTATCATTCACATATTCTGCAAGCTACACCACAGGAAAAACATAGTTTCAGGCTACAGGCAATTCCCACCTGCTTTTTTTTTTTCACTCATAACACTTGCTGATTATGGTGATTTCATATTAATTTAATTACTATCTATATAGAGCCACTACAATACTAGTTGATATTTATTGGGCACATACTGGGTTAGGTACTTATCAATTCATTTAACATCCATAACAAGCCTCTGAAACAGGTTCTATTGTGAACCTTATTTTACAGATGAGGAAACAGATTCAGAAAGGAATTTTTTTTTTTCAGAAAGGAATTTGACCAAGTTCACATAGCGTGTCAAGGACAGATCCAGATATCAGAGCCAGACAATCTGGCTTCAGAGGTTAAGTGCTTAATCTCTAGGCAATCTAGAAGCACCATGAGGGCAGATTCCATGTCGGTTTTGCCCACTGCTTCATTCCCAAGACCTTGTATAATGGGTGGTATGGGATAGTGCCTCAATCAATATTTGCCAAAAGAATGAAAAGAAGGGAGGGAGGAGGGGAAAAAGGGAAAGAAGGAGGAGCATTGAGGAAGAAGATATGCCACTAGCCCATACATGTTCTTCCATATGTAAAGTAGGGCTGGGACCCACTGAGGAGTCCTTGCCTCACTTGGGAGCAACAGAGATACTGGAGGTAGAGCTGAATGAGACACTGTCCCTGTCCTGGTAGAGTGCCTGCATCCTCATCTCAAGGTCATTGGTCCCTTGGTTCTGATGCTCTCAGGAGAGCCCAGGAACCCCCTCCATGGGTCCAAGGCCCTTCCATGCCTATAAAAGGGGGTTCAGCTCCAAAGTAACCATTCTGCTCCAAGGCTCCTGTGCAGGCCCTCAGAGCTCATCAGTGAATATGACAGATCCCTCTCTCCAGGAGTCACTGGCTAGTGAGGAAGAGGAACCCTAGAACCAAGAAGAGGAGGGGGAAGTACACCAGTCAGACTGGGAAAGAAGGGAAGTCTCTGAATGTCTTCTGCCTCTAGGAGGCTCTGCTTGTTCAGCTCATGAAGCCCAGGACTCGGACAGGCTCTTAGTTGAGAACTGCATTTCTTGCCCTCCACATCAGTATATGGGGGCTGCCCATACATGATACAGTGACATGTATGACTTGAAGACAAGCTAAGACTGATCACTAGAAGAATGAGAGTGGTATAACATGTAGAACATATAAGCCTCCTTCTTCCACACTGATTTTTCCCAGGATTCTTAGCATTTTGTTCCAATGAGGAACAGCAGCAGAGCAGAAACTGTCCTACACGGGGGGAATGTGATTGCCTCAGAGGCATACAGAACTGGGGGTACTGGGCATAGAGCCCTTTCACCCTCCACCTTCCACCCTCCTGCTGGGCTATTTGCCTATATCCTCTTTCTCAAAGGAGCTAATTGCACGGTATGCTCCCATCTTCAAGCACCTGCCCTCACTGCCATAACTCAGCAGCCTCCTCTCCCCCTCATGCCTTCCATCAAGCAACCTTCACCAATTTAAAATTGGTCAAGTCCTATATTTGTCATATTTGCCTAGTGTGTGGGTGTGTATTTATTTGTTTAGTCAAAATTTAACAGGTCTTTTTAGCTCTATCATTGCTATTAGGATACTTAGCGTTTTCTCTTAGCATTGTGGTTACAGTACTGCCCAGGTTTTCCATGGTCTGCCTCAACCTTATTTTTTGCAAAAAGCCCTGTTATTTTTTAATGTACAATTCTACAGAACACAAAGCTTTGCAGGAACTTAATGCCACACTGTAGCAGAAATGCCTCTAGCGGAGCACCAAAGGCTTTTCTACCTGTTACTATGGCATTCCTTACCCAAGTTCTATTAAGTAGGGGTAAATGGCAATTACCACCCTCATTTTCAGAAGAGAGAACTGAGGCTCAGAGATGTTTAGTGACTCATCCAAAAGTGATGAAACAGTTCTTGAATCCAAATCTTGAAGTTCATTTACCCAGTTTTCACTATACCCACAACATTTAGCACATTTCCCAGTGATATGGTAAGTAATTGATCAGTAAGCTAATTCAGCGAACAATTAATTCTGCCAACTGATCATTCAACTATCCAACAATATAGTCCATGAATGCCATTTTGGGGGAAAAAATGAAGGAAAGAAGAAGGTAGCTAAATTTTTTTGACTTCTACTATGAGCCAGGAATGACATGTGATGCTTTTTTAACATGAACACACATACACACACACTATGAGATTGCTGTTGCCATTCCATCTTATAGACAAGAAACTGATGTTCAACAATTTAAGAAAATTGCCCAAGATCATACTACTGGGAAAGGAATTTGTTGAGATTTCAATCCAAGTCCTCCTAATTCCAAAGCCCATACTTTTCCACTATATCAGTGGAGAACACCTCCTATAGAATAAGAGAATACTTGCAGTGGTACATGGATAAATATATTTATATTAATGACTATGTATTTATTTTTACAGTGGTTTAAATGTTTATGGCAAGGAATATTTGTTATCAACTTCTGATTGTAAGACATCACCTCCTATAAAAATATCTTTAACGTTTAAGAAAATAAATCTCTTTAACGAAAAATATTAAGAAAATTAATTTTAGATCTGTAAGCAGACATAGCAAAATGGAAAAAGCAGTGGGTAAATAACTGAAACTTGAACACAACTCTTAATCCTAACAAAACTATTAATAAAACATTTTATTTATGCTCTTGATTCCCATGAGCTAGATCAGCAGATATTGTCTAAATTACCTTGAGTAGAAAGGAAATTAAAATAGGCATGATTCCCTGGCCAGTGTATTCAGGAATTTAACATGGTACTCTTTATTTCAGTGTCTATGCCAATTGGTGTTTTCTTCACAGGACTCAGAGGTAGGTGGTCTAAGGTTCTCATATGACAGAGGAAGCAGGAGAGAAAGAAGACAATATATATTTTAAAGAGAGTAATGGAAGTTTCAGGGCCAAGTGAATATTCCCAAATGATCCATACACTTGGTGTTTGTGTTATACAGAGATAAAAGTAAAAGGCCCTGGGTCCACTCTAGACACCTGGGTTTCAATGCCATCTTAGCCACTAATCTGACACTCAGGTAAGTGACAGCTGAGAGGCCCACTGTCCCCACTGGCTAAATGAAGGAATTTTGATTTCCATAACCACTTTCCAGCAATGTGAGACACCCAATCAAGAATAACTATAATTGGCAAAAGCAGCTGTCCCTGTAAGTTAGAAGGCACCTGCCTACTACAGGCAGCAGAACCCTTCCTGCTCTAAGAATCTATGATTTCATGATTTAAGTTCCTTGCACTGCAGATGGCCACACAAGTAGCAGGGATGCATACAGAGGGCCATTAAAGTCTCTGAATTATGCTTTGTCTGTCACACCAAAGGCCACATAAGCCAGGTTGGTGTAAACGCCTACCTGTCCTTCTAGGCAATGAGTATCCTGGTTAATTAAATGTCCTTGTTACTATCACTATGCTCATTATAATTGTAAATATAGAGTTTGTATTCTTAAGAAATTCTTAATGCGGGATCCCTGGGTGGCGCAGCGGTTTGGCACCTGCCTTTGGCCCACGGTGTGATCCTGGAAACCCAAGATCGAATCCCACATCGGGCTCCCGGTGCATGGAGCCTGCTTCTCCCTCTGCCTGTGTCTCTGCCTCTCTCTCTCTGTGTGTGTGACTATCATAAATAAATAAAAATTTAAAAAAAGAAATTCTTGGGATCCCTGGGTGGCTCAGTGGTTTGGCGCCTGTCTTTGGCCCGGGGCGCGATCCTGGAGACTCGGGATCGAATCCCACATCGGGCTCCCGGTGCATGGAGCCTGCTTCTCCCTCTGCCTGTGTCTCTGCCTCTCTCACTCTCTCTCTGTGACTGTCATAAATAAATAAAAATTAAAAAAAAAAGAAATTCTTAATGCAACTTTGTAATATATTGAACACAATTTAAACTATCCCGGCTAAGAA